GTAGGAAGAAGATAGGACTTTTCATTCAACCTGTTGTGGCTGCCAATCATAGACAGGAGCTCCAGGGTCTCACAGCCCCTACAGTTGTGACTCATAGCATTTGTTATTCCTTGGTAAAAGATTTAGGTTTGGCTTTGCCTCTCTGCTGACCAGAGATTTGGCAATTTCACCGGGATGGTATGGAGGTCTTTGTCATAGGTCCACCGAAGCCCTTTCCTTCTCCTCTGACACACATTGCAGGCCCCCAAGTGCAGCAGTGTCCTGAGGGTCTAAGGGCAGCACTCAGCACACAGGACAGGCAGACAGCCTCACAGCTTGTCAAGAGAAGGACCATGGGACCAAGATCCACACACTGAAAGTCAGGAATCACGCTCTCGGGGACTCCAGGTCTACTTACTATGGCACACCAGCCCCTTGGGTCCCTGTGAAAGTAGCTGAACCAGAAACTCCTGCAGCCCCAAGTATCTCCTGGCCCTTCATGAGGGTGGCCCCAAGGAAGAGGTGAAAGAATGGAGGATGTCTAAACCCCAAGAAGCCAATGTCAATGGAAAAGTGAGCCTGGTCACCACCAGCTGCCATTCTGGTGGGTGAGACTTGGGCAGGCAGTGAGCCAAGTGCTCCCTCCCAAGTTTGTGATTGGGATCATCAATACACACATAGGAGCTCTTGACCCAGGGATATTGATCCTCAGCCATGCTCTCAGCACGTACCGTCCCTGTGGCCTCTCTCAGTCCCACCATGCCTTCCCACCCAGAACCATGATCAGAGCATCTTATGAACAGGGCATCAAGGAACATGACCAGAGAGAACTAGTGATGATGTTGGAGCCAGGAGGCATGGAAACACTTCCATGACTCTGCTCACAGACACTCAGCAAGTCATTCACCTCTATGATGAGTGGACATTGGCACACTGCCCCACCCTCATTTAATAGTCCAGGAGTAGGAACTGGCAGAACCTTGACTTAGTGTGGGACCTTAAACATAATGTTTGGTTTTGTAAAGGTGTTTGGACCCTAAACGTGATGTTTGGTAAAGGGGAGAAGCCCCTAAGTGTGATGTTTGATAAAGTGGCTCCTGGAGCTTCTTGAGGGTCATCCTGACAGCACTTGGGTGAGAACCATCCTGTGAAAGGATGCTCCACATAGACTCAGGAGCCCTGTAACTGATGAGCTGTCTTATGCTATTAGCAAGGCTGGAGTAAGTGGATGGCACTCGGGTGTCACAATATCCCAGCAAAGGTACCAGGGTCAGGCCCAGGAATGTGGAGATAAGGTCAATGGGAGGAGAGAGGGAGACATGAGATCCAGGCAGGCCACACTCAGAGCTGTTTAGATGTACCCAGAACATGGGATAGACTAAGAATCCAATCCACCAGGAGAGTGACAACCCAGAGTTCCACCAGGCAGAGTTCCTATGTGGCCAACCCTGCAAGATGAGGCTTTGCAGTCAGGAGGTGTCCGGTCCAGGTCCTGACAGAGCAGCACAACACAAAGGTGGAGGGACAAGAGGCTGTGCCATCTGCCCTGTCATTGACTTTGAAAGAAGGGCCACTCACTGGCCACAGGCACCTGCCCCAATCTAAGGCTGGTATGGCTGTCTTGCCCACCTATGCCAATAGTTTGCATGTGAGCCTTAGGTCTCCTGTGTAGCTGGGAGTGGCCTTGAGCTGCTTTCTGTCCACCGTATTTCTAGGCCTGGTAGTTCACCCTGTGTTGAATGCAGTAGCTAGGTTTTCCTGGGGGCTTTTGAGGGCTGTTGGGGAGCGTGACATACAGAAGGCACAGCCAGGCCCTTTGTTCCACATTAGCAAACTCAGCCTCCAGCTATAGAGCCGGTATCTGGGGATTTTTTTTATCTCAGAGGAGCCAGTGGATGGAAGTCAGTAATCAAACTGGTCAGCCACTCCCAGCAAGATGAATATGGGTGGACCATAGGGGTGGCGTGTTACTGTGGGACAATGGAGAGCATGGGCAGCCCACCCTCCCTGGACTTGCTGGGTAGAGTGGGATGCTCTTTGTGGGTGTCTGTCCCCCGTGGAGTAGCTTGTCCCATCCAGAGTGGCCTCTCCAGCCCTTCAGAGTGACCATGTCCGTATGCTCAGACACTGACCTTGGGAGTCCAGAAAGGTGTCACAGTGGTCCCAGGGCAGGGAGAATGATAAAGCTCCAGGGGACCCTGACCCTTCTCAGGACAAGGGGTAGATCCGGTCCAGAGTCCCTGGGGGTGTTCCTGGTAGGTGCTGGCTTGCACTCAACATTGGGGGAGCTAGCTGCCAAGCTCCTGGTAGCGGGGAAGCTGCAGAAGGTTTTCGTGTCAAGAGGCAGAGCAACTGCATGAATATTTCATTAGGGAGCAACGTGCGGCCCAGGAACATCTGGCGGAGTCTCCAGGGAGCTGGGCCAGTGCAGAAAGCAGGCACTGTGAAATTCGGGAGGCAGAGGGGGAGGAAGGAGCTGGGAGGCAGGTGGGATGCCAACCTCCCTGCCTGCCTCCTGATCCTCAGGCACTGTAGAGCCCAGGACAAAAGGGCAGGTGGGTACACAGCTCTTCCACATCCACAGGGGCCCCAGCCCTGCTGTCTTTTACTTCTATCAACATCAACAAAGGCCTGCCCAGCATGGGGCAATCAACCCCCAGTACCTACCCCCCAGGCTCAGCCACAGCAACTCTGGATGGGAGGGTCTCCAGGGAGTTCCATACTGGAGACAAGTTAATACTCGCACAGACAGTGGTGACAGACAGGTGTAGTACTTACTCTGGCCTGCAGCTAGGTGGAAGGCCCAATGGGTGTCTAAAGTCTCTCCCCTCATAGGTATGTTTGTGTTGTAGACTGAGGCTGTGCCAAGGGCCATGGGGTCACAGTACTCATCTAGGACCACTTGAAGACTCCTGGGCACTCAGACCAGGGCTTTGAATCAGGCCAGCATGTTCCCTTGCTGAGGACAGGGGTGGGGGTGGGGGGAGGGGAGGAGAAGCATCAGACCAATGGCAGCTTGCCTGGCTGAGTGAACCCAGACCCTACAGGGACAAGTGTGCACAGTGACTAAAGTCCACACAGCCATTTCTAGCTCTTTCTGACTCCTACCCTTCCCACTGTATACACCTGATCCTCAGATCCAGACAGCCAGAGGGCCCACTTAGACTGTGGCCAGTCAAACAGGCCTGGAGACTATAAGTCTTCAGTCATCCACTGAGCCCAGATCTAGGTCAGACTGGGCTAGCACCAATGCCCCAAAGTTTGCTTCTGAAAATCCCAGGCTTCAAGGGGATGGACGATGCTGAGCCTGGGCTTCAGAGCCAGGAAACCTGACTGGGATCCCCCTTGAATCCTTCCCTTGAGTTGGTCACCTCGTTTCCTTCTAGCTGAGAACCAACCCTTTGGCCCTGTATACAGCAGTGACCACAGCAGGTTTGTGTATTCTCACCTTAATTTTTTCAAATTCCTAGTGGGCACATGCCTACTCATTCCCAACCCTGTGCAGAGCCAGGGAACTGGCTCATGCCAGGATTTTCAAAAGGAACTCTCTCCTTACAAGGTTTTAGCCAGCATGTGTCTAAAGGCTGTAGCCCACAGTGGGGGTGCCTTCCCCAGGCTGTAAGAAGAGATCCCTGATTGGCTAAGCAGTGCTGATGTCAGGTAGGGTGGCCCTGTCCAACTGGGACATCTATAGCTCAGCCTTTGCTGGACTCTGAGCCTCCCCTGGAATCTCCCCTTTTCCCAACTGCCTGCCCCAGACAATGTGCTCTCAGTCTCTGAGCCATGCTTCTCAGTCTCCTGATCTTCAGGCCCCTCCCTGATCCTTCTGGGGAGTCTCCTCTGCTCAGCTGGGCTCTAGACTCCACTCTCCACAGTCCCAAAGCCTAGACCAACAGAGGAAGCTGAGCACCACAGAGCCCGCACCAAAACTAATGTCTCCGCTTACCTGAGTGCCCCAGACCTTGAATGACACCTTTCTGAGATTAGCGTGACTTCCTAGGGCATTATACTGGAACAGAGTGGCCCAAGTCCCAATGTGGCCCCACTGTCCCTCTGCTATCCCACCAGTCTGAGATATGAATCCCAGAACCCAAGCCAGCCTCTCCTGGGGAAGTAAAAGAAGGGAAAGGAAGAATGGGCGGGGAAAGGAGGGAAGCTGGCTTCCGTGTTTGCCTGGAACCCCACTCAAGGAAAGGTACCTGGGCACAAAGGCAGCACCCACATCCTTGCCTGATCCTCACTGGCCGCTTGGGACCACCCATGCCATACCAGATGGAATGTTCCCTCCTTGTCCCCACCCTCTCTGACCAGCCTGTGACCACTAAGCAAGGGGATGGGCTTTGTCCTTGGAGCCGCGAGGAAAGCTCAGCCACATGCTCCTCCCCTCTGGAGCCCACCCCACCCGTGCCCTCAGCAGCTGGCTCCTTGGCACTGGCACCCGGATCCCTTTGACGGCATATTTGGCTTCAGTCCCATCGATCTGCACACAGGCGCCGAGGTGCCAAGTCTGGCTGTGGGCAAGGATGGGGGCTCTGGGAAGACTGAGCGAGTGGGGTGCATGTCTCTGGATGCTCCGGGACCTTCTAGCATAGCCCCAGCCCACCCTGACCCACCTGCCAAAAGAAACAGATCTATCCCTTCATGGTCAGGGGCCTTGCATAACCAGGGGAGAGGACCATCCCTGGGAGTACGGACAATGGTGGCGATGATGCAGTGTTGAGACCACCATGGGGCGCGGCTGCTGTAGTCACAGTTCCAGATGGCCCGCCCAGGCCAACCCACCCCGCATCTTCAGAACACCAGTCAAGCACACATGGGCAAGCAGTGGGTACCATGCATTTTAAAGTGTCCAGAGGTTACACGGATGATCTGGATATGAGGCAGTCAGACTCCCTCTGATCCGGCCCTCTCTGAAAGTTGCCATGCCATGGGACCCACACCCAGGTGAGACTTAGCCCCCACCTGCACCCCACCACAGATACCAGGTGCCTATACTTTAGTGAGCCCCACTCTGTCCTTACCTGTTCCATGCTGGCCTTGCCTACATCCGCCTGCTCCCAGGCTGTCCTCTGCGGCAGCGCTGCCAACTGTCTTCTGCCTCCTAACGTGGGCTGCCAGCGATCTGCTGTGGGTTTTGTTCATGGGGTTTGGCCTCATGCAGCCGCTGGCACTCGAGATGGCAAGCGTCCATCTTTCTCTACACCCGTCCCTCACCTCTGCAGTCTTCCTGTGCCTCCTGTGTCCCCATGGTGCCCGCTCTGAGGGACTTGGCACGGACAGAGCCCGGCCCGCCTCTGCAGCTGAGGAAAGCCATGCTTTTTTCTGTATTTTACACACACACACACACACACACACACACACACACACACACACACATCTCTCTCTCTCTCTCTCTCTCTCACACACACACACATGCCAAGCCCCCCACCCCCAACAACACGCATCCCTTCTGTCAGGAACAGACCCAGCCAAGAAAGCCCCTCACAGGCGGGGGCAGAGCGGAGGGGCTTCGCATAGCTGGTGTAAACCCAGCTCCATGGTTCCTTCCCTTCCTGGCCCCAATGCACTGCCTCTTACGTAAACCACCAGGAAGGAATCAAAAGGAAATGCAAATCCATGTCACATTTTGGAGCCTCCTGATTGGGCACACCTTTAAACTGGTTTGATCTTTCCAAGCATGCTCTGGCTCCAGCCATCCTGAATCCTGCCTCAATACTCGAATCCCTCATCATTGTCCCATACAGCTGGACACCCCCAACCAGCCTGTGCTGTAGTGACCACATCCATTCCTGGAAGGATATTGACTTTTGAAGCCAATTCTGAACACTTGCTGGGAACTCCGATGTGACCTGCTCGCTGGCCAAGAATCAAGTAGCTACAGGACAGTGATTCCTGGGTGCTTTGGGTACACTGTCAGGTCCTGACCTAAGTCTGAGGCCAGAAGAGGTCCCTATGGGAAGTGAGAGCCAAGGCCAACCCCAGCCTGGGGACAGAAGAGGGAAGAAGAGTGGTCGGACCTCCTGCTGGTTACCCCAGAGCAGTGAGGCCATCAGTGCCATCCACCTTCTTGATGGCGTTTGTTGTCTCTGTTGTTGGAAAGGACTTCAGTTTTGCCCACACACTAGAACACGCTCCTCAGAGAAGAGGCAGGGACTCTGCGGGGCCCCGAAGAGGTGTGGCATCTATGATGAAAGGCAGACTGCTGCCACATGGGAGTCACTGCTTCCCTGCTCCTTCCCCTTCTTAGAACTGATCTGAGCCCACAATTGGGGTCAGTCATGAGAGTTGCTCCCTCTGAGAGGGAAGAAGTGGGCTCTGTCCCTCCCGAGTGAAGAAGTGGGCTCTGTCCCTCTCGAGTGACCACCCAGGCTTGACCACCACCTCTCCCCTTTACTGCTGCTCGCCAGATCTCCTGTGCAGTAAGGACACCAAAGGCAGGAAGAAACGCACAGAGCACCAGCCCAGGTGCCCGGTGCGAGGCTAGCTGACGAGCACCCACTTCCCATGATCTACTCCACTTACCCTTGTTTCCCCCAAGCCTAGGCCATCCTAGGCTTGCCTGTTTGACCAGGCTGGCTCTGGGTCAAAGGTCGTCCCAGGCTGTTTGAGGCCAGTCCATTGTCTGGCCTACTGCATTTTCAGGCATTGTAGATTTTTTGTTTTGAGCTTTTTTGGGGGAGGTGGGTTAAGTTTTTCCTTCATTCACTATATTCAGGAGTAATTGACCTAACCTTAGCTTCGAACACCCTTGGATCATCCCCAAAATGAGGACTGGGAACCATCCCCGCACGGTTCATATCCATACTCCCAAGTCTAAGTCTAGCAATGGGGTCCCTGTTCCAAATAGAAATCTTCGGTCTTCCAGTATGTGCTCCAATACTCCCCAAGAGCCCCAGCTTCTCGAGCTCTCCCTATCCTGTGACAGTGGGGCAGTAAGAGCCCACAGCCAGCTGGGCAGTCTAGAGAGCATGTACATCTCCCTTATTTGTCTGTCCACCAGCACGAATGGGTGTGCACATTCAGAACTAAATGGCAAAAGCTTCCCATGATCTCCTCGTGGTGGTGTGCTGACAGTCCCTATTCCTTCAAATAACATGAAGAAGGCTAAGCAGCCACTGTAGTTGAACCTGTGACTGAGCATATGCATATCCTGGGCATGGGTCGGGGACCCCACTGTCAGAGTGAAACAGCAGACACGTAAGCAGACGTAGGCTGAGCTTTTTGAGGTGGTGATCTGGTCAGGCAGGTATCACCCCAAGAAAGCCTAACTGTGAGAGGATGGGACACAAACTGGGGTACGCCATGCTTCAGAGCCAACTCCAGGATACTATATCACAGGTGGCAGCACTGAGCCTGGAACTCAGAAAACAGAAGGAAGGCTGGCTTCCTGTCTTAGGAATAAGGGTCCAGACCTCAGGTTGTGGTTCCAGGGGCCATCTCTCTGCCTTTGGAGGTCCCATGTTCAAGATTCCCGGACTGACCTGCCATCACTGATATGGTGCCTCAATGGCCTGCAGAGCCCGCGGCATCTTGAGTTTGCATTCAGCATCTTCTGAAGGTGCTTCCTGCCGTAGATGGATGTTCTTTTGGCCAGGAGAATGAAGGGTCCTGGCTGTGTCCGTACTGTGATCCTGATCATTCAAGGGGATTGTTGCACCTAAGCCTGGACCGGCATGGCTCTCCGGAAAGCGACCCAGGTGATGACATTGGTGCAGAACAGAGGAGGAGAGCAGACCTGTCCATGACCTTGGTGGGTATTCTAGTTTCTGCTGCTGCTATAAACACTGTGACCGAAACTAACTTATGAAAGGCTTGTTTTATTTTACAACCCCAGGTTATGGTCTGTCACTGAGGAACATCAGGGCAGAAAACAGAGAAATGCTGCTTATTGGCTCACTTCCTGGCTTCTTCCCTGGCTCATGCTTGACTAGCTTTTTACACAGCCCAGGACCACCTACTCAGGGCTGGCCCTGCCTACTATGGGGTGGGCCTTCCTACCTCAGTCCCTGCAAGATGTGTCCACAGGCCAGCTTGATCAGGCCATTTCTCAATTGAGGCTTCAACTTTCAGCTGACTCTAGACCACGTCAAGTTGACAATTAAAGCTAACTAGGACACTGCAGGATAACCAAATAGCCTTAGGTCTGACATGGTCTGGGCTGGGACCAAGGCCTTGTTCATTTATTTGTGTTTATTTAAGTAGGTCTTTAAGGCAGGTCTACCTCCTAGGTAGGTCTTGAGGTAAGTCCTCCACACTTCCTGAAGATATCTTTCTAAAATGGTGGGTCAGCCCTGGCAACTCACACATGTGACTAATGCATGTGATATACATGTATGAGCTATGTGTGACCCATACGTGTGGCCTGCATGCCTTCTACAGTGCTCCTTTATGCAAACAGCCGTCCTTTCCCCTGTCTACCTGTCTCAGTCACTTATTTGTCATGTGCCTGCCCAACAGGCAAAATAGACAGGTGTGAGTTTAGCAATGCTAACTTCTAGTTCTAGTAAGTTCGGTGCTTCTTAATGTCCAGGCATCAGGTCAGGCTGTTGGATTATGAGGACTCCTTGGGCATTAAGGCATTAACACCATCACACAAGCAACCATTTCTTTCATTTTCTCCACTATGTTGCCTCAGGTGGAGACCAGCGCCTTTGCTTCAGTGCTGTCCTCGGTCACTGTCCTTAGCTGCTGCAGTCTCAGCTAATGCAGGGCCCACCCATGTTATCCCCAGGCTCAAGGGCAGTTTCACTTTTGTCTGCATTGCAAATGTTTCTAATCGCAGTGGCCCCTGACCCAGGCAGGAATGGTCCAGAATCACCTGTTTGATGTTTCCTCCTGACAGAATCTTCTTCTTTCTTTGCTGTAGAACAAGAGCTTGACCTCTTTTCCAGCATTTCCTCTGTTATGTTTATCTGAAGGTCTCCCTCCGTCTGCACACCAGCCACTCTAACTCTGCTATTTTATAACTTTCCACCTGCGTAGCAACTCTGCCAATCCCATTATTAGAATTCATTATGAGTATTAAAGAAATAGACATGAATTCATTAATTGTTTTCTTACGTGTGGGTTTTTGTTACCGTAACAAATGTTGGAGAGCCCGCTGATAAGGATAAGTGATTTATTTTGGGTCGCCTTTTTGGAGGTTCCTGATTGTGATGGGTTTGCCTGCAGTGAGGCAGAATCACTATGAAGGGAGCAAGAGAGAAGAAGGGATGGGCCCCACTATCCCTTTCACAGGTACATCACCAAAGACCCAAAGATCTCCCTCTAGACTCCATCTCATAAAGCTTTCATACCTGCCAATGGTACCACATTGGGGACCAAGCCTTTAACACATGGGACTTGTGGGACACTCTAGATCCAAAATACAGAATTGTGGTACAACATACATTATGTAAAATATACTGTCTTAATGGATTATAAATCTTCAGTGTGATATTAAGCCATTCACACTCAGTGTATCCATCACCTCTAAGAACCTTCTTGCCATCTCAAATTAAGCACACCATGAGCATTCAGAACCCCAGTCCCACCTGTCTCTATGGATCAGACTGTTCTCCTGGGGACCTCCGTGTGTGGAGTCATACTATACTCTTTGTGACCGCCTCATCTGGTGTACCATGACCCCCTGGGGTTCCCCTACCTCAGAGAACATGCCAGAACCACATGAACATCTTGGAACACTTATTTAAAATATCTCTTTGGAAACTTTACCAGAAAAGCTTTGCATTTATGACTTGGTTCTAGAGGTACCATGACTGATGTCTGAAGTACCCAGTCGTCTGGGTTAGCCCAAAACTGTGGGATTTCTTCTTCTGAAAATTTGGTACATTTCTGTTAAAGCCTTGTTTATAACTTTCTGGAAGGTTCTGGGCCATGCCAACTCTGGTCCTGCACACACTGTTGGGCTAGGGGACTCTTGAGAAAGCTGTTGATGGATGAACATTGACCCTGATAGAGTAGGAGCTGCTCAGAGCTATTTTAGGCACACATACACACAAACAAAAGAATGTAATTTTAAAGTCTTAATGTCCAGCACTGTCTCTGGAGAGAGAGATTAGAAAGGACAGTAACACACACTGAGAGAAGCTGGGTGGGAAATGTGGCCATTCTTCACACCTTTCCTCCAAAGAAACCTTGGATGGCCATGTACCAAATGAAAGGTCCTTCAGGGCCTGAGGCAGGCCTGTCATCTCAACTACTCAGGAGGAGGCAGAAGGATAGAAAGTTTAAGGCCAGCTTAGACTACATCATGAGTTTAAAGCCAGCCTGAGCAACTTCTCAAGACACCCTCTCAAAATAAAGAAAAGCAAAAAGACAACAGTCTTGTTTTTGTTTTTTGTCAACCTGACACAAATCTACAGTCATACAGGAAGAAACCTCAGCTGAGAAAACTTGTGTCAGGTTGACCTGCAGGGAAGTCGTGGAGCATTTTACTGACTAATAATTGATGTGGGAGGGTCCAGCCCACTGAGGGTGGTGCCACCCCTGGGCAGGTGGTCCTGTGTTGTAAGAAAGAAGGGTGTGCAAGCCATGGGGAGAGAGCCAGTGAGCAGTGCTCCTCCAGGGCCTCTGCATCTGTTCTTGCCTCGGCTTCCTGCCTGAGTTCCAACTCCGACTTCCCTCGCGGTGGATTACAAATGTTAGCCGAAATAAGTGGATTACAAATGTTAGCCGAAACAACTCTGTCTCCTCAAGCTGCTTTGAGCCATGGTGTGTATCACGGTGATAGACAGCAAGCTAAGAAAGGACTGAGTTGCAGCTCAGTGATAGAACACGTTCCCTGCACATGTGAAGCCCCGTTTCCATTCCCCACATGGCAAAGAGAAGAGGAGAGGAAAAGGAGGAGAAGTGGAGGGGAAGGAGGAGAGGGGTGTCTTCCATAAAATTCCACCTCTAGCATCTATTTACCACTGTGGCTCCAGTCTCCGCAGGGTGGGTTCTCTGGTCTCCTAGCTGGAAATATGAATTGCTTTGGTTTTGATGCCAGGGTTCTCCCATCTTTGTAAATGCCTGGGGAACAAGTTCTCTCTGATTATTATGAAAATTTTCATTGTCAAATTCCCTGAGGCTGGCATCCAATTAAATGAATGTTCTATTTCTTTTTTATTTATTGGCTTGTTTGCATTTTATTACTTTTTAGGTGACAAATATGTGTGTATTTCATTTGCTACTATACGTATACAAATACATACCATACGTATTGCATTTTATACTATTTTAGGTGACAAATACGTGTGTATTTCAAAAACACTTAGAAGCCACTGGAGGAGAGTTGGGCGCACGTTCTCATGACTGGAAGGTCTTTAGGCTGGTGTTATTCTCCCGTTTTATGTCCTTGGGTCTTCTCTTCTAGGTTACATTAAGGAGAAGTGTTGGTCGAGTTCACCGCTGGCCGCTGTCTCACAGGAAATCTCCCCACGCCTCTTTCATGACTCTCTGCCCCGGGTGGCTTTCCCTGCTTTACTTGTATTCATTGCCTGATACTTTGGGTTTAGTTTCCACTTTGATACCATTTTTCCCACATCTGACAAAGACACTGTGTGGGGCTACAGCTTTTAACAGTTTGTATAAGATAAAGTTCTAGATGCCTGTGCATTCTTTCTGGATAGCTTGTTATTAAATTATTTGTTTCCCTTTTATTAAAATAGTCAACCAGATTGTGTTTTCCCTTCCAAATTAGGGTTTGTAGCAGACTTTTAACCATTGATTTTAGTGTGTTGGGGTGTGAGAAGGTGGCCTGATTGGTTCTGCCACATCTGGCCAGGCAGACTTAGTTTCCCAGGACATGAGTCTTTTGCCACTCTTACTGGGCAAGTCCTAAGAAAACCAGGCTTGGTCATTTCACCCTGCTTTAGGGGTCTTCTAAAACTTCCAAAGCCACCTAAAATGTGAACAATTGCAGGTCCTGTTACAAGGGAATTTGAAAATAAGGTGTTTCCTGAAGGGAGGGTATAGAGTTTAAATTTGGATTTATGCATTTAACTTAATTAACAATAGTTCTCAGTTCCTCTAAATTTTTTTTTGCTAATTTGATTAGTCAAAGCTTGATGGAAGCATGTAAATGTTTTGTCACCTCCAATCTTGAGCACAGCAATTTTATCCATGGTTTTTCAAAAACATTTAGCTTTATATGTCTATTTCAGTGTGATAGTTGTTCATTTAGGAGATTACTATAAAACTGATAAACTTCTTGTAAGCTGGGCAAAGCTCAATGTTGGAAGACAGATGAGGGCCTAATGGACTGAGTTGGGAGGGCCCCTGCTGACATGAAAAGGCAGCAGAGAAACGCCCTGGTCAACGTCCACTTAGATACTCCACAACTGGGGGAAGGTGAGTGGATTACCCCAGAGCACAAGATACAAAGTCTCAACCAAGATGAAATGGCCTATCTACATACCATATGACGGTCTGGGAGGTTGAATGTATCACCTGTGGAAATCTCCAATCCCATAGGCATTCTAGCAAACATTCTGGAACACTGAACTCCAGTTGCCCTCAAATTCTTCCAGAAAATGCAATTGGAGGGAACAATTTCTGACAGATTTTGTGAAGCTAGCATTGCCCAATGACCAAAGCCAAAGGCGATTCCAAACAGTCACAGGTGGGTATCTCTAGACCCTTTTTTTTTTTTTTTGGTTTTACGAGACAGGGTTTCTCTGTTTTGGAGGCTGTCGGTCCAGCCTGGCCTCAAACTCAGAGATCCACCTGCCTCTGCCTCCCGAGTGCTGGGATTAAAGGCGTGCGCCACCAACGCCCGGCTCTCTAGACACTTTGACACACCATAACCCATGTAAAAACCAACACATAGACAGGAGAATCCTCGGCAGCTCAAGGACTAGCTAGCCTGGTGTATGCAATGCAAAAGCATCAAAGAAACCGTGCCTCAAACAAGATGGAGGGCAAGGATGGACACCAGCTGGCAGCTGACACCTAAGATTGTTTTCTAACCTCCACACAGCTGCTACAGTAGACACGCCTGCATTTACGCACAGGAATGTACAGAGGGAGGGAGGGAGAGAGAGAAAGGATGTGTAGAGTCTTAGGGTTTCTATTGCTGTGATGAGACATCATGACCAAAGGTGACTTGGGGAGGACAGGGTTTATTTGGCTTACGTTCCTACATCGCTGTTCATCACTGAAGAAAATCAGCACAGTTAGGACAGTGGATAGAGTGACAGGAGAAAGAGCCTCGAGGATGGCTCCGCCAGGGACCGGATGACAGCAGTGGGTTTGTGACTGAATTTACACTTTAAATTTTCAGCTTATTTATATATTTATTTACTTATTTATTGTGATGACTACTATTACATTACTGTTATTGTGGGGGAGTTGTGGGGGGAGAGAGTGCATTTGTGCCACTGTGCAGAGTCAGTTTTTCCCTTCCACTGTGGGCTCCAGGGATCCAATTCAGAGCCTCAGACTTGTATCACAAGCACCTTTTAACCTCTGAACCATCTTACTAGCCCTGGAATCTACACTTTAAATATGGGCACTGTGTTACATGTCAGTCACACCTCAAAGAAGCTATTAAAGGTGGTATCAAGCAGAGTGTGGTGACACATGCTTTAACACCAGTACCCAGAGACAGAGGCCGGCAGATCTTAGTGCCAGCAGCTTCACAAGTGAACCTGAAGCTAAGCTAGAATGCAAAACAGAATCCTGTGGAGATGGCCACAGGAAATAAAAAGCAGAGAAGCCAGCAGCCACCCAGGCAGCAGATGTTCTGGAGGGACAGAGAAATGACCTAAGATATAACTCAGGAAAACTTCCCTCCATTTAAAGTGAAACTGCTCATCTGGTGAAATTTGATGGCCTGAGAAGAAAACAATACCACAAAATATGCTACCACATGTATGAAAATGTACAGCATAATGAACCCATTTTTAAAAACAGTTGGTAAAAGCCAATAAAATTTCAGAAAGTCCGAGGGGGTAGGGGAGAGTGTGGCACACGTCTTTAATCCCAGCAATCCCTTTGCAGAGGCAAACCTGGTCTATAAAGCAAGTTCTAGGACAGCCAGAGCTGTTGCACAGAGAAACTCTGTCTTGAAAAATAAACAAAAAATTCAGATTTAGGAATTGAAAATGAAGAAATAATCTCACTAACTTCTAGGCAGGAAGAAAAGGATTAAGCATTATTTACATCAACTTAGATTAAATGTCACATTTAAAGCATTGCATTAAATATATCATTTATTCGAACAATAAATTCCAGAAGTAACAGAAATATTTTCAGGGTTTGAGGAGATCAATCATTTTGATTGAAGTCACATATCAGGCCGCACTTCTCCTGTAGCAGGAAGACAGTATTGGCCATGCAGAAGTCAGTCCCCTACACACACACACACACACACACACACACACACACACACACACACCTATCTTGAACCTTCCCATGGCTCCCCTGGAGACCTGTATCTGAAGGTTGTGTCCTGCTCCCCTGAGAGACATGAAGAAAGAAGCCACCATGAACACAGTTTGAACACAAAAGGAAGATGTGGAGACAGGGTTTGTGATGAGCCGTCTAGGGGAGGGCACCTCATTTCTCCTGCTTCTTCCTGTGTAGTTAAGGAGAGATTTAAAAGGATTGTCCGTGCTTTAAAGAAAACATTTTAGGCCGGGCGGTGGTGGCACACGCCTTTAATCCCAGCACTCGGGAGGCAGAGGCAGGCAGATCTCTGTGAGTTCGTGGCCGGGCTGGACCAATAGCCTCCAAAACAATACAGAGAAACCCTGTCTCGTAAAAACCAAAAAAAAGAAAAGAAAACATTTTAGGTGCATAGACTCAGTTTCTGATACCCCAATGATCCTGTTGAGGAACAATTGCTGTGTGCACTTTAGATCCAAAGAGCCAAGTTCAGCCCCACCCCCGGCCATGCTGCCCTGCCCTGACTCCAGTCCAGCAGGAAAGCCCTGGACAGACCTCCAGAATCTATTTGGATACTTCATTCTTCCCGGAGTTCTGGAACTTTCTCTGATGTGCCCTGTGTACCCCCACTCAGGACCCCTCACCTCTGTAATCTGTCTTCACCTACAGAGGGTCCTCAGAAGATGCAGGACAGACATCGGCATGGCTCTGCAGCTGGGACACAGTCCGTAGCCCTGGACATGCCTCCATGGCAACACCAAGACTTTCCTGCACTCTAGGCCTGGTGTCACTGTCCCCCTGCTGCCTCGTTGTTGATGCTTTTCCCTACAAGAAAGTACAGGTGACACTTAGGGAAATGTTTAAGAGAAGAAATACTCTTATTATTTTAAAAAACCAGGAAGTGAAACATATCCCTGACGCAGCCCTTCTAGAGAAGCCCCAACTTCCTTGGCCCATGACCAAGATTTTGATCTGTGTCATCCAGTGCGTCCTTTTGGGGGCCCTGAGTGCACAGGTGCCCTCAGCTTGGGGGCATGGTGTGTGTTTATGCGGTCTGTTCGTGCAGAGGATGGTGATGGGGCTTCACAGCCGGAGTCACAGAGCCAAGGACAGTAGTAATGCCTGTGGCTTGTGCTGGCTAGTGCCACTTGCTGGTGCTTCCCGTCATCAGAGCCATGTGAACACAGGGCTCGGGGAGATGGCACTGGGTGGAGTGGAATCTTAAAGGGAACTTCAGTGAGGTCCTCAGCCTCTAGAAGGCAGGAAAGCAGGAAGTACTGTGAACAGCAGACAGAGCCAATCAAAGGCAGAGAGTGGTCTGCGTGATGGAGTGGTAGACAGAGGGGGCACCCTGGAGGCTTCTGTAGACGGACACCTAAGGGTGTTCATAAGGAGAAAAGTCTGAACGCTGCTGGGTTTCAAATGTCCCCATTGAAATGTCCCCTTGCTATTCCTAAGCTCTTCTGAAGACATTGAAAGCCAGCTCTAGCTTTCCCCTCAAGCTAGACGTGTTGGGAAGGATAGAGGGTGGCATCCCTAGCTTCAAGCCAGTTGTAGACAAGGACTTCCCTGAACCCATGTTCATTTTCCTATTCAAGAGTCTCAGGACATCCAGGCAATGGTGGTGCACACCTTTAATCCCAGAACTTGTGAGGTAGAGGCAGGCAGATCTCTGTGAGTTTGAGGTCAGCGTGGTCTACAAAGCAAGTTCCAGGACAGCCATGGCTACACAGAGAAACCCTGACTCAAACAAACAAACAAACAAATGAACAAACAAAAAGACCAGATGTCTGATCATCAAGGGGACCAAGTACAGCCCAGCTCTGGTGTCTGTCCCTTCTCTCCTCTTTCTCAGAAGTGTCCCCTGTTCCGAGAAGCCATTCTTAGAAGATGCTAACTTGCGTCCTAAGGTCACATCCTACCTTCTCCAAGAACCACATTCTTCACCAAGTGGCAACATGCCCCAGGCCTGCCAGGGCACAGGTGAGAGTGGGCTGGAGGCACCAGAGGCTGGCAGCTTAGTGATCACATAGCACAGTGACCCTGTAGCCAGGGCAGGTGTCCTCTGTGCTCTGGCCCAAAGCTCTTCTTTCTGCATCATGAGCAGCAGGGTCTCTGTGGGGTTCCACACTCTTTGAAAAGAGAATGCCAGTTCCTGGACTCTGTTTATGGGACCTGGGGAAGCCATGGGGCCTCCATAGAAGACCAGAGGAGTGTCTGAAAGACAACTTCAAAGTAGGCAGGACCATGGCCCCAGGTGTATTCCCGCTAGCTAGTCTAAGGAAAGACTCCCAGGGGGACCTGGAGATGAGGCCTGGAGACAATGAGTTAAACTTGATGTGAGTTCAGTTTTTGTCCTGCATTTCCCCAGATATCCATGTAGCATGAGAGATGCAGGCTAGTCTACAGGAAGAGGAGCATCTATCAGCCTCAAGTCTGACCCAGGCTTCACTGGGGAAAGGGACACAGGACTGCTCCTGTGCTGAGCCTCAGAACCCTGGCTACCTCTGGCTCTACCCTTGTCCCACATCTTGTAGACTGCATAGCTCAGGCCTGCCTACTCTACTTATGCTGTGTACAAGGCACCACCCCTCATTTACCTGCTCCCCTGGCCTCAAGCAAAAGACAGTGGAGCATCACATACTGGGGCCCAAGGTGGCTACCCAAGATGGCTACCTAGTACAGCTACCCAGGACAGCTTGTGTTCATCTCTGAACCTCAGGCCTCTCATCTGCCAGTGAGAACAGCTACAGGTTCCTGTTCCTTTCCCAGTGCAGGCAGCCATCTTGACAGCTGCTGCGTCTTCCTCTCCCCAGAAGCAAGCTGCCCGTGGACACTGTGTGTTCTGTCATTCCAGCTCTCTCAACGACACAAGTCTGCTGTCAGCAAAACACAATGCTAGGCCACTTCCTCTGGGACACCCTCTCCAATGCTGTCTCAGACTTTGTCACCAGCAAGTCCAGGCCAACCTTGACTAGGACCCAGCCTTGCTCCCAGAGACTAACCTGTGGCCTTTACAACTCTCTTTTGGAAGCATCTTAGGCTTCAAGTACAAGGAAAACCAGGGCCACAACCTGCTAGAGGCTCTGCCTCTGCCAGACCACACTGGCTGTGCTTCCAGAAGTATCTGTACCCTTTTCACCCCCATGAATGGAACGGCCTTTTCTGTTTAGTGGCAAAGGAGGGTGTCACAGAGCCGGGGCTGGTATAGAACCCCTGTGGCACCAAGGCACCGTCCTCACAGGCCAGCAAGGCACCGTCCTCACAGGCCAGCAAGGAGCCTGTGGGCGCTGGCTCTGCAGTTTGTCATCCACTGAAGGTTCGAGACCTCTGGACTGCCGCTGTAGCCAGACGCATGACAGCAGAGCTGCTGTCCCCAGCCAGGCCATACTTCTGTCCCCAGCCAGGCCATGCTGAAAGCCAGACTTTTCCCAGCTCCATGGCCTCAGGTTCCCAGGGGTCGGCACAGCTGTACCAGAACAGAAGCGTTCAATGTGTGGGTGTCGGAATGTTCCACCGCAGTGCCGGGTGCCACCCACTCAGGGGACCGGGAAGTGAAATTGCTCAGTCTGCTCTGGGTGTGGCAGGCCAGGGTATTTGAGTTCACTCGGAAGATTATCAAGGGAGGTAAGGAGGCCAATCTATTTTCTTTTTCTTTTGAAAACTTTTTTTGGCAGTAAAGCTTTTATTTCTTTTCTTTTTTTTTAAACATACTAATCCCAGTTCCCCCTCTCTCCCCTCCTCCTGCTCCCCCTACCTTCCTCTCACCCCCCCCTTTTGCTCCTCAGAGAAGGTAAGGCTTCTCATGGAGAATCTGGAAAGTCTGTCCCATCACCACATTGAGGCAGGACCAAGGCCCTCCCACTGTGTCTAGGCTGAACAAGGTATCTCTCCATAGGAAATAGGCTCCAAAATGTCAATTCATGCATTAGGGATAGATTTTGGCCCCACTGCCAGTGGCCCCGCAGACTGCCCAAGCCACCACTGCATTCAGTGGGTCTAGTTCAGTCCTATGCAGGTTCCCCGGTTGTCATTCCTGTTTCAGTGAGCTCCCATTAGCTAGCTCAGCTGTTTCTGTTGGTTTCCCCGTCCTGGACTTGACCCCTTTGCTGGTATTGATTTTTTTTTTGAGACAACGTCTTGCTATGTAGCCCAGGTTGGCCTCAAACTCATGGTCATCCTGCCTGGAATTAGACATAACTATGCCTAGATATCTTCCTCCAGGGCAGAGAACAAATGGTAATACTAGCTCATGGGTTGCTTTCCCCAGAAGGCTCTATGCCAGCCTGAGTTTCATGATGTCATCCTCATCTTGAAGTTGCTCTTTTGAAACTCCATCTGAGGAGGACATTGGGTGTCAGCTGAAGAGGGAGAAACTGCCTCGAGCATGTTAGAGGCTGGTTGGTTTGGGACCTCCCCCCATCTTCCCACTGTCATGACACACAGCATAGCTGTCTGCCCTTGAGGTGAAGGGAGATTTATTTAAGTAGTGACTTATTTATGAATGTGTACATGCTCTAGGGTACATGCAGCAGTCAGGACAGCTTGCAGAAACTGGCTCTCTCCTTCCACTTTGTGGGTCCTAGGGATCCAGTTCGGGTTGTCAAACTTGTTGGCAAGTACCTGTTCCCACAGAGCCACCTTGTATCAGTGGAATCAATTTTCTGTGCAATGATGGATCAGATGGGCATCGGGCACATCACGCAGGGCGCTACCCTCCCACATTGGCCTCTGCACCATGGAGACATGCCTGACTTAGAGGGGACACTTGGCATGTAAACTACCACAACCATGTACACCAGAGGCTGGCACCAGAGCCATCAACCTACATCACACCCAGGGTGGCCACTGGAATTTTGGTAGGTGGGGTTAAGTGCCAATAGAACCTTATTTATTGAATAGGTGACAGGTGGCATTTAGCCCTTGGCTGGAAATCACTGACCCTGGACAAGAGTACTAGGGTTCAGGATCACCTGTCCAAGGTCACATAATTTTGAAATGGCAAAACTGGTCAATCATATTCTGGGACACTGCACATAGCATCTTTGAGTGATTCCTGGGGAGTGGGTGGTCAGAGAACTCACTTTTCTCAAATGAGTTCCTTAGAGATGGTGGTTCTGTGGCCCCTCTCGTCATGCTCTGGGAGTAGCAAACTTCCAATCTGCCTCTGGGAACTTCAGCAGTTCTGTTTACGTGTTTGGAATACATGAGTATTGAACAACCATGGAAGACATTTGGGGAGGAGGTCTTAAAGGCATATGTACCATCCATCCTATATCTCAACATAAGGAAAACTGGGTCCCAAGAGCAGCTGGACCCAGAATCCAGGTCTCCCTGAAACTGAGATCCTGGCTGGTTAGGCTGGGAGCTGGTCTCCAAGCAGATGCCCTCCCACCTGGACCTCTTGGGAATTGTCCCCCGGTGGACACTTAGGTGTTCTCCTGGAAAACCCCTTGGGCTTTGTGTCTGACAGTGGGAGTGACAACAGCAGTGTCCTGTGCCACCCACCTGTGCTCCTGAGCAAGCAGGTACATGCTTGTTATATAGAGGGTTTGAAAACCAGGGAAAGCTTGGGGAAGATGGAGGAGGCTAGTTCTGACTTCTGCCCTGATGCAGTCCTGATCCAGCTCTGTAGACAGGAACAGGAACAGCAGAGGAAGGGCTTCTGTAGAGGGTAGAGGAACAGTGAATGGAGAGGTTGCATCCTGCCCAAGGAAGGTCAGGCTTTAGAATATACTCATAATGTTGGCCAAATAAAACACCTCCCTGGCTGACTTCCAGATCCGCATTTCAGATACGATGGAGTCGAGCCTGCCTGCGGGCACCATCAGGAGCTCTTCCCTATACAGATGGACCTTAGGCTGCCTATGTTATCAACATCACCAGCAAATATTTGCAAAGCAGCACAGACACCTGCCCTGTTCTAAACAGACGAACAGGTGCAGAGGTCTAACCTGCCTTGCTGTGGATTGCTGTGAGGTTCTGAGAAAGTTGGTGGACCTTTCTGGATTTCAGTTACTCTATCTGTCAAATGGTGTGAAGATAAATACAGATTGGTCTCAGGGGGGCTCCTTCAGTGGGAATTTTTTCCTATTTTAGGTGCTTAGTTTTATTTTTATTATTGTTATTGTTTTGTTTTGAAAGTCTCCCAGCTTAAGTAAATAGTCCCCAGGATGCCCTGAAGCTGACCAGGCCATGCTAATGATGCTACTATAATGCATAAGTCCTGGGACAGCAGGTACATGCTGGGTGACCACTGTGGATGTGACACTTCTGTACAAAAACATATATGTCCCTCCAGACATACTGCTGGCAGTACTGCATCCTTGGCAGGGCTCTGTCTGGCCAGGGAGGAGCTGGCAGACACGCAGCCGAAAGCCTGGGCACTGAGAACACAAGCCAGCACTGCCCACAGCTGTGACTCTTGTTTGTACAGGGTGCTGCCCAAAGCGGCCTCGACAGGGTGGCTGTGCCCCTGGCTCTGTGCTTGCTCTGTGTTAGAGAAAGTGCTCTCCTTCCAGGTGATAACTGCCAAAGCCATCCTCGTCATGCTGGTCTGAAAGTAAATGTCTCGTCATTGGGGAAAGCAGACGCAGGGCTGATGAGTGACAGGGCTGATGAGTGACAGGGCTAATGAGTGACAGGGCTGATGAGTGACAGGGCTGTTGAATGGGAACACGAGCAGTGGGTGGTCCTGCAATGGCTCATCACTAGGCTTGGCCTTGGAGGGTTGTCCGCTTTCCTTACAGAGTCCCCCGCAAAGTGTGAGATTCGCTTGTCTTCAAGCTTGCAGAGCTCTTTAACCAGACATTGCTTACCTCAGGGGTGGTGTCCCATGATGCACTCTGATACTCCGCTTCCCGGGAGGTAGCTGTGGTTGTGAGTTAGCCAAGGCTCTTAATAAAAAAGGGAACTTCAACAGTTCACCTGTGTCCATTGCCTTTTGGCTACAAATTACCTTTCCCTCTAGATATGATGCTGCTGTATGCTTTGCAAAGGGTGTTTCTACCAGGGGTTATGCCCTCTGCTCTATGTGACTTCATCTTCTCACCTGGAGTGTTGAGAATGGCCTAAGCTCACATGTAGATGAATTTCTGGCATCTGTGTCAGGTATCAGAGAGTGTGGGTTGGTCCATATCTGCTTCAGCAATGAGGACGAACCTTGACTTTGGGTTTGAGGACAACTTGACAAGACACTTTAAAAAAAATAGTCATTTCTAGCCGGGCGGTGGTGGTGCACGCCTTTAATCCCAGCACTCAGGAGGCAGAGGCAGGAGGATCTCTGTGAGTTCGAGGCTGGCCTAGACTGACAGCCTCCAAAACAATACAGGGAAACCCTGTCTCGTAAAAACAAAAAAAAAGTCATTTCTTTATGCTTTGATCTCATCATTGCTCCGTTAGGAATTCTTTTATCCTAGGGAATTGAATATGGCTGAACACTGGGATTTGTTGGCAAGGAAACTGAATACCCACGATTTATGTTACTGAAAGCAGGAAGCCTACACCTATCCATCCCCAGGGACAGAGGATCCTGGTGACCTGCTACCATGACAAGTTGAGATGGGTTCTCCCTGGACTTGATACACAGCATCTCAAAAGTAATAATGAATAACAAATAAATCACAGCTACAGGGGAACTAGAGGGCCTCAGAAGACTCCCTGAGATAGTACAAGTAAGTACAATACAGGATCACTCTATGACCCGAATTGTGCTTTTAAAAGGTGTGGACCGGTGAGAATGCTCAGCAGGCAAAGGCTCTTGCTGCCACTCCTGGGGATCTGTACAGTATGTGGAAGGAAGGAACTGACCCTCAGGGTTGTCCTGGGACCTCCACATGCCTACACACACACACACACACACACACACACACACACACACACACACACGACTAAATAACTAAATGTAAAAGGGGTTGTGATTGTAGAAAATAACATAGGCACATGTCAAAAACGTTAACATACTGCTTCTGCTTTGAGGACTACATGTAAATTTTTATAAACAGAGTCTCATGTAGCCCAGGTTGCCTTTGAACTTTCTGTGTAGCAGGGAATAACCTTGATCGTCGTCTGGTCCTCCTCTATTCCTCCTGAGTGCTGGGATTGTAGACATACTTCTCCTTGCCTTGTTTAGGTAGTGCTGGGGTGGAACACCGGACATTGTGCATACTATAGGAGCACTCTAACAACTAAAGTAAACTTAAAAAAGCATTTCTTCAGTAAACATGAATTTAGTAACATGGAAGAAATTTATTGGAAAAGGTGAAATTAATCCAAGAAATCTGGCTTCTACCACAGTGCTCTGAGAGGTGTCTGGACCAGTCGGTTCTCTTCCTTAGAGACATGAATTCTGAGGCCAAGGTTCCCTTAGAGAAGTCCCAGCCATTCTGATGTTTTTCCCTGCTGTACTGGGGTGAGCAGTAACCTCTCACCCCCAGCATTCAAGTCTGCATGGAACTTCAAAGGTGACCTTGTTTGGGATATCCAGTTAAGATGAGGCCACACTGGAGTGGGTGGTGTCCTCAGAAAAAGAGGAGAGATATGGATACACCTCCCATCCTCTGAGGCCCATGTTCCTGTTGCTCCAATGCTGACCACCATAGAGCCTAGCCCTGTGTGACAGATGCATCACCAGAGGCAGCCTCATCCTTGTTACAGGGTACCCTCTCTCACTGGTATGTCCAGCTGGTGACACTCAGGCACTAAGTGTGTAAGTGTGCCTGGTCCAAGAGCCCAATGAGCAAAAAGGCTCTGACCCAGCAAGTCTGCAGAACGGCAAGTCTGAGCATCCTGACCCCTAGAGTCCTGCCCTACCCCTAACTGGGCTCACAGATATGCTTATCCTGGCAGCGCAGCCTCTGGCTGAGATGCCACATCCCAGGCTGATGTAGCATGTTTACAGCACAACACTGATTCCTGTGCTCCCACTGAGCCTAACTTTTGTGGTACCAGCAGCTCAGATCTACAGTGAGGTAGATGTAGATGAATGTGCCCATTTCATAATATGCATATGAGTGTGTGTACAGTGGACATTCATGTATATGTGTATATGAGTGCATATGTTTACATGTGGGTGTATCCATAAATGCACGAGTCCACAGATTAATCTGCAAGCCTTTGTCAATTGTTATGTAAACTTACACAGAGGCATACAGGTGTCTATTTGTTCATTGAATATGAGCTTGTACATGTGTGCGAGTGTATACACCCAATGTGGATGTGTGTGTGTGTGTGTATAAAAATGCACATGTATGAGACATAGTATAGAAGATACATAAGACACTAAGTTCTTAGCTTCCTTGAAATGCCTATGGTCCTCCTGAAGCTTCTGTTTCTGTCAATCTTGGACACCTCCAAGAAAAAGCCTCACTTGGCAACAAGGACATGAGACCCAAAGTGGCTTTTTGGGGTGTGTGTGGTAGTTTAAATGTATTTAGTCCCCATAAGCTCATAGGGAGAGGCCTTGAAGGAGGGAGTGTGGTCTTGTTGGTTGGAGGAGGCTGGATGACACATGCCTGTAATCCAGACTTTGAGTCTAGAGGGCACACCTTTAATCCAGGCCACACCTTCTGTTGAAAGTCTGTCACTGTGGGGGTGGGCCTTGAGGTCTTTTTCTCAAGATTCACTCAGTGTGTCAGCGAGTTGACTTCTTGTCTGCAAGATATAGGACACTCAGATATTTCTCCTGCGCCATGCCTGCCTGATGCCGCCATGCTCCCTGCTATATTGGACTGAACCTCTGAACTGTAAGCCAGTCACTGCAACTAAATGTTTCCTTTATAAGAGTTGCCATGATCATGGTATCTTTCCACAGCAATAAAAACCTAACTAAGATGGCGCAGGCGGGTTAGGTCCCAGGAAAGAAGGGACAAGAAACCATGAGGTCCCACAAGCAGACCAGCCTCCTGCAAGGGATGGTGCTGTAGGAATTCCAGGTAACCGCACCAGCAATAACAACCCTGTCCCGGCAAATGAACTACTTACCAAAAAGCAGCAAGAGTCAAGACTGTCTTTGTATGATGCCACCCCAACACAACTATCCCAGACAACAAAGCAGCAGCTGGCCTTGGTGGTGGCCAGGGATGGTGAAGGCAGCTGGCCTGCATATGTCCTACTTGTTATTGGAATCTGCATCATAACCTCTCACTCATGAAGTCAGACCCAGACGTCAGGCAAGAAGCTCGGAAGTGTCTCTAAAAGTAAGTGGGCAGGGCTGGGAGGTTCAGGTCCAAGTCTGGTCACTCTTCATCACTGCGTCACCTCACTTTTCAGGGATCATCTGGAGATCGGGTTTAGGCCATCTAGGAGATTGCAGCTCTTGGTGAGCCCAGCTAGAGGCCCTGTGAACAGCACCCAGCATACTTGAGGCGGTGTCTTGGATTTTGTATCAATTGCTTGTCTTATTGATATGAAAACATACCCTGTCAAAAAGCAATTTAAGGGAGAGTGCATTTTGGTTGACAGTTCCAGGGTGTGGTCCACCACGGTGGGGAAGGAAGTCATGGTGGCTGGACGCTGCATCCCTAGTCAGACAGCAGAGAGAGATGAATGCTGGTTCTCAGCTTGCTTTCCTCTTTTATGTGGATCAGGACTGCTGCTCATATTTAAGGTGTATCCTCCCGTCTCCGTTAACCTAATCTGCATAGTCCCTTACAGACATGCCCAGAGACATTTCCACAATGACTCTAAATCTCATCAAGTTGACGGTCAAGATTAACCACCGCAAACTGTATCAAAACTCTCTGGAGTCTTCAGTCTTGAGCATTTCCAGAGTTCCCCAGGGCACAACACCAAGGCCCTTAGACCTCCCTTTCCTCCGCTCCAAGCAGATCAAAGGCTTGGTCCACCCTGAAGGCCCTGGTTCTCATCTCCTGGGACCTCCTGCCTATCCACAGTAGGGTGACCCAAGGTGCTGGTCACTGCAGTTGCATCTGTCAGTGTGAAGGTTTGAAAGGACCGGGGAAATGTTGCTTTCTCCTCCTTCTAGGGTGATGGCTGTTCTTGGTTGTCAACCTGACTGTATCTGGGATGAACTACAATCCAGAAATTGAGGGCACACTTGTGATCCAGATCTTGAGGCAGAAGACACCTGCCTTTAATCCAGATTTTGAGGTGAGAACCTTTGATCTGGGCCACACCTTCTGCTGGAAGCCTATATGAGGGCATGGAAGAAGGAAGAGTTAGTTCATTCTTTGTCTGCTTGCCCTCGCCTTGCTAGCACATCTGTTCCTTCACTGGCATTGGAGCCTGCTTCTACGGGATTCCAGCATTTACAGAAGACCAGCTGAGACACCCACTCTCGTGGACTGAGCACCTACTGGATTCTTGGACTTTCCATTCACAGAGATCCGTTCTGTAAGTTCTGTGACTCTAGAGATCCCTGGCTAATACAACTAGCATCATTTTATTTATTTATTTATTTTGAGGCAGGGTTTCTCTGTGTAGCCCTGGCTGCCCTGGAACTCACTCTGTAGACCACGTTGACCTTGAACTCTCAGAGATACGTCTGCCTCTGCCTCCCAAGTGCTGGAATTTAAGGCATGTGCCACCACTGCCTGGTTCATTTTATTTTTAAACACTTTTTCTTTCTTCTTTTCAGGACTTTGCACCTCTTTCCTCTGTAGCAGCCCAGTGGCCTTACCTGGGCTCCAGCCTCAGGGACCTGGGCCTGTCAGGTGACTCTCAGGAGACGGTCTCCTCTAGGGGTGGGTGACAGCCCCTCCTGACTCTTTGAATACTGGGAGAGTCTTCCCAGAACAGAAGATTTCTAAGGCCTCACCCCCTTCACACGGGGTCCTATCTCCCTCCCCGATGATCCCTTTCAGTCAGTCTGACTCTCAGTCCTCTCCTTCCCACACAGCTGTGCCATGGAAAACGGAGGAACACCTACCACCTTATCCCAGTACACGAAGCCCAGGTCAGGTCAGGTGCTATCCATGTTAGGCCATATAGCTGGGGCCCTCTGCAGAGTCAGGGGTGACTTGGGTACCTGAAAGATCAATTTCAGGGATCTGGGAAATTGTAGTTCTAAGCCATGCTCCAGTTTCTCCCTCAGGCTGAGGGGTTCATTTAGTTCACATATGTGACCTGCTTGGAACTCTTGTTCAGACGTTAGCCTCAGCGGGTCTCCCCATTCACGTCGTTCCCCTGGCTTGTGCGGGGGCGCCTCCTGATACTGTAAGGCTCCCTTTCTCGCCTCAACGGCGGCACAAAGCCTGGCCCTCATCTCTGGATTCTCTCAGTTTCAGGGGCCCTCAGACAGGTACTTCTCTCCCTGGAGGTCAACACTGGAGCTCAGGGAGCCCTGGACCTCAGCCCATGGCACTGGTAGGTCTGCATCTGCCCCAATTTGGCACACGTGGCAGGAAGATGCTACTCCTCAGATGGTGTGGGTGGTGCCTGCCGCCTGGCACTGGTGATGAGAGGCACATGGGCTGTGAGGAGATTGCTGGGGGCTGGGGCTGCCGAGTGAAGGCAGCGGAGGCGGAGGAGGAGCGTGGCAGGAGAAATGACAGGTGGGAAGCGGATGGAGGATTTGGAAGCAAATCAAATTTTCAGTCGCCAGGAAATATATCCCCAGCCACAGGTAGTCTGCGGAAGAGAGTCGGCTGCCTCCCAGCTGGCACCTCGAGGGGCAGGTGGGGCGCCTCTCACAGCTGCCTCACAGAGCTGGCAGCTGTGCTGCTGTACCATGTGTAAGGAGCCAGTCCCCAGGAGCACCCACACCAAGCTGGTGTCAGCTGCAGGAACCCACATATGTGGCACTTAGACATTTTTGTCCTGTGAGGCCTGGCACTCGTGGCTTCATGGGGAAGGCATTCTGGCAGGATTGATGTTTCCACACGCCCATGCCAGGGTCTCCAACCCCAAGTCCATCCCACACAGCGCCCTGTCTACCGCCTGGCCCTGTGGGTCGGCTTTGTTCACTCACACCTCAGAAGAGGCCAGCCATGTGCTGTATGTACTGGAGCAAATGCAGAGCCAGCCCTCTGTGAGTTCCTGGAGCATGCCCAGAGCCTTCTCCATGCCCAGGCAATGGGGTTGTGGAGAGGACGCATAGATAATGTGGACAGAGGGGATGTGTAGATGAAGGGTAGATAAGGACAGAGAGGCTGTGTGCGTGAGGTCTTTACATGGACAGAAGGGCCATGAAGAGGAGCTATAGGCATGGACAGAGGCCTTGTGGGCTAAGCATGGATATAGACAGAGGAGTCAAAAAGTGGGTATGTTGAGAGCAAGATGGTGGTTTGTTCTTCCAACTGGCTGGCTTTAAATCCAGGTTCTGGTTAGCTAAGTCAGTCAGTTTGCTGAAGCAGCCCATAGAACTCAAGGGAATGTCTACTGGTTTATTTTAAAGGAAGTAAATCAGGATAAGAAGGTTATTGAGACAAGATAAGGGAAAAGCTGGCATTGTCCCCAGTGCAGGAGCTTCGAACCCTATAGTCCAGCTGCAGGTACGCGCAGCCGACTGGGGCGGGCCGCGGGCGATGTAGCCACCGCGGCTGGAGCGAACTAGCACTCACCTTGGGATGCCGAATTCAGGCGGTTTCCCAGGCGTGGGCTGTAATTCCATCCCACTTCTGACACCAGGTATCGCGGTAATCGAGGCTATATAGGGAAAAACAATATATTTATTTATCAGGGAGAGAGAGAGTCGCACATACCAGGAGTTAGAGGCGTGGCTGGCTTCCAGGAGAAAAAGAGGGAGGCCCCTTTTCCTTTCACTACCTTTTATCTCTACCTTGACCCCGCCCTGTTGGGCGGGTAGCTTTGTGGGGTTCACTCCTACAGTGGGGGTCAGAGGAGAGCTCCAGAATTAAAGAGACTAGTAACTAACTGGAGAGAATCAGGTCTTCTGGAGAGCTCAGAGTTACTATGGGGCTATAGCTGGGGCTTTGAGGTTATGACTCATCATGCTGAGGCAACACTGAGCCCGTGAGGCAGATCCTCGGGGTTTGCTGAGGAAGTGGAGGAGTGAGTAGGCAGGGACTGCCAGTTGTAGATCAGAACTTTTGATAACCGTGTGGTTCAGGACAATATCAGTCTGAGGACACTGGTGCTCCAGGGTCATCCCGAAGACAATGGAGTTCCAACTGAGGAATGGGTTTAAAGAGGTAATGATAGATGTGCCCAAGGGATGAGGAGAGAAGAAATCATAGGACTCAAGAGGCAGTCATTACCCATTACCTGGTTCCTACTGTGCAGTGAGTAATATACACCTTAATACAAGTCCCCAGTCCCTGCTCAGGACTACTGATAGATTCCTTGACTCGGGGTGGGATTGCATCTTAATGAGCCTCTTGGAAGTCCAAAAAGCATTCTAGGTGGGCATGATGGGTGGGGACTGGGGAGATAGCTCAGAGGATGAGTGTTTGCTGCATAAGCACAGGGTTCTGAGTTTGGGTCCCCAGTACCCTCATAAAAGCCTGGACATAGTTATGTGTGCCTGTAACCCAGCAAACTGGTTGTCATCTAAGATGAAAACTGTGAACTTCAGGGAGGGACCCTGAGTGAGGGAATGAGGTGGAGAGGAAGAGAATATCTGATTCCCTCCTCTGGTGTAAATCACACACACACACACACACACACACACACACACACACACACCATGTTAGGCATGGTGGTGCACACTTATATTCCTAACACTTGAGAGGCTGAAGCAGGAGGATCATGAGTTTGGGGCCAGCTCATAGGCTACATAAACCCTGTCTCCAAAAAAAAAGTCTTAAAAAAGACTTCATTAACACAACCTAAACCTATGGTGACTTAGAAATATGACACCGCAGTATCATCCATTCTCACTGGTGGCTGTGGCCCATTGCTACTTTTCAGCATCTTGAGGGAGCATCATGCTTTGAGTGCTGGTCTAGGAAGAGATCAGTATCTAAAACCTACAGTGTCTACCAAATGCAAACCTGTTCACACCATCATGAAGCTGAGGATTTTGGTATTGGGTTTTAGTGTGGGGTTCCTTAAACACTGGTCAGTGTCCTGAGCATTGGGAACTCAGATAAGATGTCTATGTTTTGGGTGTATCTGTGGTCCTGGACTCATAGCCTCCTCTTTAACAAGTCATAGCAATTAGAGATTAGAATTTCTCTTCCTCAAGCAGGTCACAGAAGCTCAAGCCCCCAAGAAGCATCTAGATAGACAAGCCTTACGGACTACCCCCATCTAGATAGATAAGCCTTACAGACTACCCCCATCTAGATGGATAAGCCTTACAGACTATCCCCATCATATAGATGGACAAGCCTTGCAGACTACCCCCATCTAGATAGATAAGCCTTACAGACTACCCCCATCTAGATGAACAAGACTCTTGTTATACTAACAATTTTTTCCCACAGGTCCCCATGATTGTCATCGTCCCACTTCAGCAGGAAGTAACTTTGAGAATTCCACGTCCCCTCTCCCTACTATTGACATAAAAGGATAGTTTACCCCTGTTAGTGTAATTTCCAATTATTTAGGGTTGGAACCAGAAGGAGGTGTTCAGACTTAGGCATCCCTTTCGGATAAGTTTAGAATTTAGGTGGAATGGATATGTTTAGTTTAGGATAAGTAGATTATAACTTAATTATCACCCTCTATGTATATATGTTGTATATGTTTGAGTTTGTATCAAATTTAAATCTTCTATTTAGACTAAAAGGGGAATTGTAGGAGTGAACCCCACAAAGCTACCCGCCCAACAGGGCGGGGTCAAGGTAGAGATAAAAGGTAGTGAAAGGAAAAGGGGCCTCCCTCTTTTTCTCCTGGAAGCCAGCCACGCCTCTAACTCCTGGTATGTGCGACTCTCTCTCTCCCTGATAAATAAATATATTGTTTTTCCCTATATAGCCTCGATTACCGCGATACCCCACAAACTCGCAGGCATCCCTGTACCCTCCAGGCATCCTAGACCGAGCACCTTGACCTCCATGCCACTTGGCCTCTGACATTGTCCTACCATCCCTTTTGCCAAGCACGATGCTCCTCCTGGATTCTCATGTCCCTGTAGTGCTGGCCTTTTTTGGAACCAATTTAACCATCACTTTTCACATACAGCCTTTCTGGAAGCCTGCTCCTTGAACCAGATTGCCCAAGCCCTTACGGCTCTGTGATATAGACTTATAGAGATGATTTGTAACAGATTAGTGCCCATGTTCAGTGTTTGGTCTTCTGGAACTGGATCCTACATGGCATTCTTTATTCTTTATTTGTAACACCTACTGGAAATGGCCTCTCATATAGATGAGGAGATGAGGGTCTGAGAAGTTCATCTGCTGACACACACAGCCCTCACTGATGGAAGTCTTGCATTACTCCTCTGTTTCTGTGCTCACATTGCTTCCGAACTTCATAGCTTAGAGGATTTAGGGATATGACTCAGTTGGTAAAGCTCTTAGCCAGCATGCATGAAGTCCTGGGTTTGATCCCTAGCAGCCCATAAAGTAGGTATGGTAGCACATGAAAGTAGTCCCAGATCTTGAACAACAGGAGTAAGAGTTTAAGATCGTCCTTATCTTCAGCTGCATACTGCGTTTGAGTGTGGCCTGGAATATATGAGACCGTGCCTCAAAAGCCTTCATGGGTGAAAATAACAAATTATGAGCATCAGGAATTCAGGACAATATAGAAGGATACTGGTCAGGCCTCCCACAAAGTTATATATTGTAGGCAGCCTTCATGCTCCACAGGTACTGTGGGATTTGCTGGCCAGCAGGTTATTCATTGCCTGGTGTGCAGAAACCTCTGTTTTTTGCCAGGCAGATCCCCCACAGGCTGTCCCTGAGTCTTCAGTCATGGACGCTGGATTCCCTAGGCACATGATCAATCAAGAGAACAAGAAGGCAGCAGCTGTGATGCCTTCCATAACCTCCCTGGGAGTGATATAACCACCACCAGTATCTAGCTATAGATTCAGGTCAGCCCTGTTCCACGTAGGCTGGACCAGCCTGGGCACAGAAAGCCAGTGACAGGTCAGAGACCATTGAGACCTCTTGTCTTACTCACCAGGTACCAGGTGTCCTCAGTGCTCTCAGGGATGGGCCTTACCAGGACACCAGTGCAATCTCCCCCAGAACAGACAACAGTGGCTTCCAGAGCTGCCTGCAGAAGGTAATGTGTTCACAGCTTGCGGAAGTTCCCCTCATGAGCCATCTCCTGCCAGCCAGATCTGTGTTGTGCTTCAATCAAGTGAGAACGTGTGACCCAGACGCCCCCAGCAGCTTGTGCTCATTAAGCTGGAGGTGCAAAGGACTAAGGGGGAGGGGCTGAGGCCCCTTCCAAGATGCTCCAGCTATGAGATATTTTTTTCTGGGAAGGGCAGGTATATGTATGTGAGCGGAGAGCAGGTGTCTGGAGTATAGCGGCATGTGACATGGAGAAACGCCTGAGGTCTGATGTCTGAGATGTGGGGTGTGCTGTAGAATGCAGAGTCATCTTGACCACCTGAATCCAAGGTGGAAAAAAAGGCTGCATCTTGAGATGAGCTGAAACTGTCATGTGGGATGGCGCAGCCACCTCCCCTGGGGCTGGTGGGAATTGTCTTCACGCCCAAGGCTGCAGGTGCTGCTGTCTGGCTACTTCCATTTATCCCAGCCCTTAACCACTATAGGGAGCCAGTGATGGAGACGGCAAGAGGGATGGTAGTTCACACTTCTCAGCAGCAGAAAGTGTTCTGGTTCCTTGTGTCCACAGCATCCCTCTGGGGCATGACGGATGGGCAACTGCTACATTTCCCACTCTTTCATTTGCTAAGTTGAAGTGGCTACTTAACCCACTGTGGCAGGCCCTCGGTGGCCTCCTCTGCTGGATCTTTTGAGTGTCCCTCATGAGTTCCCTTGCTGTGTCTCTTCCATGTTCCCTTCCTGAAGCCTCAAATCCTGCCTGCTGGACTCCCCAGAAGGACCCCCAGTGTCTTCACCCTCTGCTTCTGCCTCAGCCTTTTGTCCAACCCCTTGTTTCCAGGCCTCCAGGCAGGATTATGCTTGGTCACTGGACTTCCTAGTCCTCAGGTCCTCAGGAAGCTCTCTGCTGGAAATCTTGCTCTTGGTCTTGTGCGGCCATGGTTCCTCACCTCTAATTACAGTAATAGGGTTGCTTTGGAGTTGTCCTCATGAGGCCATCCCTGCTGTCTGTGTTTGTTTTTTGTGACAGTGTTAGCCTGCAACTCTCATGTTAGTGACTATCTAGTTAGCCCTCAAATGTCTGGTCATTACCCGGAAGCTTGTGCTATGGTCACTGAAATGCTAATCAGAAGTTCGAGGGATGGGTGGGACTGGGCCCTGCTAGGCTTCCCCTGCAGTGGCCACTGAGACCCCTACTACGACCATCCTTTCCAGTACTAACATTCTGTTCATATAAAAAATGGGTTTCTTGTTAAGTGTGTGTGTGGGGGGGGTTGCATGTATGTATCCACAGAAGTAGGACCTCCCTGGAGCTAGAGTTACAGGTAGTTGTGAACTGCCTGGTATAAGTGCTTGGAATCAAACCCAACTCTTCTGGGAGAAGAATATATGCTCTCAACTGCTGAGCCATTTCTCCATCCCTTCTGTCTCTTTTGTTTTGTTTTTGAGACAAACTTATGTAGCCCAAGCCGGCTTTAAACTCTCTATGTCTATGTAACCATGCAACCATGAATTTCTAACCCTTTTACTTCCACATCCCAAATG